CTTGGGGAGCATGGCACTGGGGTAGCCGGCTCCCCGGGCAGGGGCGGGAGCTCCCCACAGAGGAGGCAGCGGGCTCTGAGGCCTCTGAGCAAGGGGTTCAAGGGGGTTGTCCTGGCTTTCGGGGGAGGGCGGGCCAAGTGGGGAAGGAATGTTCCCAGGGGCTCAGATGTTCCCGATCTGGGCCCTGACCACCTGCTGAGCACCCCTGGACAAGGGCCTCCGAAGGTCTGAGCTCAGTTTCCTTGTTTATACATAAGAAGGAGACACTGTGCCTCCAAGAGCCGCCACGCAGGTCGCAGGAGATGCTGACGTGACAAGCCCGGACGCGCCAGGCCTCCAGCAAGGCCCCCGGGCCACAGCAGTCAGGGTCCCCGAGCACCCTAACACACCCTGCGTGCTCCTTCCATGGTGGGGAGCCAGAGAGGAAGCAGCTCGGCCAGCAGGCCACAGTGCCTGGTCCAAGTCTCTCCCCTTGCAGTGAACAACCAGGGGCCAAAATTCTCTCCCAAAGCCCACTCAGATCTCTGAGAAAGGATGCGGGAAGTTAAAATAAGCTCTGAGCAATAAGGCTCATCGCTGGGGGTGGGGACTTCTGGGACAGCCTCCCTCGCGCAGAGCGGAGACTTATCCTCGGCGTGAGGGCCCATCTCCCCGACCCCTGCCGTGGGCTGGCTCCACTCACGGTCAAGCTCCTTCCTCTTGGCTACACAATGGCTGCTGCAGCTCTACCCAGCTGCCTGGGGCTTGACCTCTTCAGGACTCACACACCTCACCAGTAGAAATGAGTAACGATACCATAGTTTTTGCTTTTTATTTTCTGCCCAGCATCCACACACCCCACCTCCAGTAATGTGTTCCCTCAAAGTTCCTTTGAGGAGCCACCCTCTTGCCCTTTGGCCTGTATAGTTTCTGTGAGGTAAAGCCCACCCTCAGGTCCAGAGAAGGGCTCTGATTCGTGCATGCCGATCAACATATCCCCACCAGCAGCAGCAGCACTCTGACTGCTTCAGAAGCTATCCACGACCCAATGCTGGCCAGCAGGAGTCAGGCCCAGGACATGGGTGCAATCATTCGAGGCAAGAACCTTTGCTTTCCAATGGATCCAAAGCTGAGAAGACTTACGAGCTGGAGCTGCAGCAGCCAATTTGCAGGCATGAGGAGGATGTAAGAGAATGAAGCCAGTACAAAAGTAGAGAGAAACCAAGTTTCTCAGGCCCAGAATGGCTTTTCCAGGGATGTGGAATTGGAAGAGAAGAGCAAACAGTGGGAGGATGGGGGAGGCGGGGCCTCTTATGGGAATCACACTTGTATTTGTCCACTTGAAAGTTACGGGGCCACTCTGGCTGCTACAAAGTGGACAGCAAAAGTCAAGAGCAAGAGTAAACATGAGAGAGAGCATGAAGGAACAGTACACAGAGACAAGAGGGGGTCAGAGAGACCAGAAGGCAGCTGCCAGCACCCAGCCCCTGGTTTCAGCATCTCCTGAGACACCTCTGTGTCCTCACGTCTGTCCGCTCCCCACCTTGCCCATTTCTTGCTTAAGCCAGTTCTTCTCAACCTGACCCTGGAAAGCTTGTCAAAGCACAGATCACTGACCCACCCCAGGGTTTCTGATTCAGCAGGTCTGGGGTGGGGCTGAGAATCTGCATTTCTAACAAGTTGGCAGATGATGCTGAGGCTGCTGTCTGGGGGGTCACATCTGGAGAACCACTGTTTTAAGCAAACTCAAACGCCAAGAGTCCTACCCAACATGGGAGACGCTGCCAAGGGAGGGTGTCTTTCTGCGGGTGCCAATATCCTCCCAGCTACCCCAGGAAGTTCTCCAGGCTGGCGGGGGAAGAGAGGTGGACAGGGAGCAGCCGTGCCCCACCCTTCTGCATGGCTTCCATCCTTTGGTGTCCTCCTGTGCTGCCTGCCCACCCCAAGCAAAGCTGGTTTCCACCCTGAGGCGGGTTCCCCAAGATTCATTCCATTCCCTGACAACAGTTATTCAGGAGGTGGTACAGTAATGCAGGGGACGCAAGGGGGTGCAAGCCACTCAAGAACACCAGTTGAAAGGTGACAGGTCCAGGTGGGGCACAGTGTCCCCCACAGTTTGCACAGTGGGGGACAGACTGGCGACTTTGAGCGCAGGTCCTCCCAGGTGCCCCTGCCGCTGCCTGCCTCTGTGCTGTCTTGACGCCAGCTTTGATGTGTCATGTCAGCAGCGGGGGCTTCCCAGGCGTCGCTTCTCAGAGCCCTGCCAAACTGTCTTTGCAGGATCAGGCTCCCTCCCGGAGCTCTGCCATGATCCTCTGCCTCGGCCCCGCAAAGCCTGGCTTTTGGGAAAGAGTCAGGGACACACTGATGGAGCCCAGTGAAGCCCCTACGGGTCAGAGGGAAGGCCCAGCCCGGGTGCAGCTGCACTCATCTCCCAGCAATGCAACACGTAGCCTGCTTCTTGGCCACCAAGAGCAGAAAAGGCTGCGCTGGCTCCAATGTGGACCTTTCTGCCCCCTGGGGACTGCAGCCAAACCACACCGCCTGAAGGATTGCTGCTGTTCAGAGGTAGCCAAGCGCAGTGCTGGCTCGAACCCGGACTGCACTCCCAGGGCACCTCGCTTCTCTAAGCCTGGGCTTCCCCACTGGGACAACATGAACCAGCATGGTCCCATCACCTGGCCCCACTCTCAGGGCCCTAATGTCCCTGTGTCACCTTTGGGTGACTCTTGCTCAGGAGTCAAAGGCATTTTTCTCTGCAGTATGAACTTCCAGCTGAGCAGAGCTGGTATGGAACAGTGGACACTCCTGGTCTGCCCCACTCCCTGTCCCAGCATTTTCTCACTTAAAAAGAAACTGGAAACTAGCTGAGTAGGGCAGAGGTGAGGGGCTCTGTCACCCTGTGCACACACCCCTAACACACACCCCCAGGGCCAGTCCTACCTTAGTTTTCTGATAGTGCCACCTAGCACCTGCAGCCAAAGAGGAAACTTCATTTGCCATCAAGTTCTCCAGGCTGAGAAGATTGCTGTTGAGATGTTTGCAAAGCCACATTGCCTAAAGGAAAGGGCAACATTTTAGCAAAAGTTTTAATTAAGAAAACTCCATTAAAATGCCCAGGTCCTTCTGCATTCTACTAGGAAAGACTGGCCCTAGGGAAGTCTAATCATTTCTGGCCGGAAGGAGGCCACCAAGAAAGACAAACCCATAGAGTACCTCCCAGCCTAAGAACTCTGCTTGTATGCAAACCTACAAATGGGCTGTTTTTAGCTGCCCCTCGCATGCCTTTCCAAGCTCTGTGGACCATGAGTGTTTAACTCCAGAAAGGTTTATAACAGGAAATACAGGGACAGGACCTAAATATGGGTCACAAGCACACTTGATGTTCATTTTTTCTTAAAGCTTGGGAGATGACGTATTCTAGCCAAATGAATGTTCAGTTCATTGATGACTACTATATATGCTCTATAAGGGAAGAATAAATATTAAGGAATAATAATGCAATAAAATGTTCTTAATACCAAGATTATCCTGATGAGCATTTTCACACCGGACGATCCAGAAGGCCCTGAAGCTCCCCTGGGCAGGCTGAACTCTAATTCTCTGCGCTCCTTGCACTGGGAAATGTCAGCAATGATATCAGGAAACAACCCTTTAAGGCTATGTTTGGATTTTACTATCTATCGCCTTATCGTAAAATTACATTCTAGATGTCCCCATACAGTGTTCAGGGACAGGGGCAGCGAATTCACCAGAAGGCTTACAGGGGCGACACGCTAAGTGCTGGTGGGCCCTCACTTCACCAGGGAGGACAAGTTGAGACCTGACAAAGGAAGACCTCTGCTCAGGACACTTCACGAGTCTACCCAGCAACTTCCTGCCAGTGATCAGAGAGGACCTAGAACTGGGAAGGAAGTGCGGTGGTCCCAGGGTGCCAGACGTCTCAAAGACGAGGGCCCATTTGCCAAGGAGACCCTGACCCTGACCTGACTCTGCTGAGCCATGGCCCAGAGCACCCGTCTGTCTCAGTACACAGGCTACCACCCTAGTGCCTGGTGTCAGCATCACCTTGGCAGCAGTTTCAACGAGCTCCCCGGACCCCTCCCCAGGAGATTCTGAGTAGGCCGGTCTGCAAGGGAGCCCGGGAACCTGCATTTTCCAAAGCACCATGGTGATGCTCAGGACTGCCAGGTCCAGGAGCCCCTGGTTTCTAACAGTCACAGTGATTCAGGTGGGTGGATTGCAGAGAGAAGTGAAAGCTGACAGCCTGATCCTAAGGAGCAAAGTGGAAAATCTACAGACAGAGACTGACAGATGGACAGCGGGGTAGATGAACAGACGGATAGGTAAAGAGATAAGAAGAGCAGCTATACTAACTCCAAAGCATAGCAAATACAGGTTACTTTGTGCAAGGATCCTCCGTCTTATCTCCTTTTCGGAACACAGCAAAGCACCAGCTAATCAGGGCAAACAGCCCGCGGCACGATCCAGGCCAGGCCGAGTGCTCCAGCACAGGCATCCAGGGCTAACCCATGTTCGCTAACTGGCTTTTAAAAGACAGAAACTTGCATCTCAGATTATTAAAATGTGAACAAGTTCTTGGCACTTATAAAAAGGAGTTTAAAGATTAAAAGCATAGATAGGAGGGGCTGCCCCTAAGGGAGGAGAGACAAAAAAGGGGGAGGCAGGATGAGGTAGCCACTGTATTTTAAAGTTGTGTTGGCTTTAAAATGGAGAATCATCAAAGCAAATGGGGCAAAATGGAAAATTCTGTAAAATCTGGCAGTTGAGTACATGAGTATCTATGGTTTTCTACAGATTTTTACACTTTTCTGATTGGCCAGACTATTTCATAACAAAGATTTTAAGAGCGAATCTGAAGATTCCGTGTCAAAAGTGTTTGAATGCGTATATTTGAGCCAGCACTTCTGCCTCTAGAAATTTATCCTAAGGGTATAACTGAGGGTGTGCAAAGAGTGTCCGTGTGGCCACGAGAACTCTGGCAGGCATATCCAAATGTTAAAATAATGCTCCTTTCTCCATGGTTGGGGAGTTGGATTTTTGGTTTTTGTCTCGTCTACCACTGCTTCTTGTAATCAGAAAATGAGAAGCAGGAGAAGGAGATGAAGAAAAGCTCAGTAAAGTTGCACATTTGCTGAGGTGCAGTCTCATTCCAGCTCTGCAGGATCGGTGAGATATCACAGTATCACAGCACCTAATATGATACACTTACTATAGTTGTTTTCCCCGAGGCCGGTGGACCAAATATTATAATCCGTGGCACTGTGGAATAAAAAGATTTGAATGTCATGGCTCGATATGACAAAGCAACCTCCCCTACCTGCGGTGCTTTGCGTGTATTTATTTCTTTCCTCCCCAGATTTCATTTTCTGCAAGAGGCACAGTCATTTGTAACCCAGCAGCTCAGAGATGTTCTCACCATACAATATATTCTCTGTGTTTAGAGAGGTAAGTGATCACTGAGATGGTTTATTTTTCTGTCTCCAAGGGGACATGGACACGGTAACTTGTTTGCCAAACTAATAAATATCAAGAACAATTGGGATTTCAAACACCATAAAGCATTTTAAACAGGGACTTTGTCTCGGGGACACACTCTCAAATAAAGCTGTGTTTTATGTAAATCGAGGGAAATAATGGGAAAAAGCCTGGGGTATATGGGCCAGATTTATAAAACCGCAGATAGGAAAGTCTTTGTTTTCAAATATGAGCATTTCTATGCAAATGGAAACAACTGGCTGCAGTGTGAGACTCCGGGCCCTGGAAGGTTCATGGTCCCAGAATTCCTAAAGCAGCCACCTGCCAGACTAGCATCTTAAGAGCACTGGGAAGTTGTGTTCTTGGGTCAAAACAAGGAACCAGGATGTGGTGTCTACACAGATGAGTCCTTGCTGATCCCGCCCTGAGTGCCACTGGGATATGTCACCACCTCCTCCTAGCTGGGGAGCGAGGGCCAGAGAACAGGGGTCAGAGAAACGAGACCTTTGCCCCGTTAGCCTGGCCCACGGAGACTGATGAAAACAAGAGCCCTCCCACCCGTCTGAGGCTCCGACGTCTATGGGCAGGCCCATCCCTGCCAGGCCGCCGAGCGGAACCTCACCCACACGGGGCAGGACGGGCATGTGTGAGCTTCTAGTCTGGACATGGGCACTGAGAAGGCACAAGAGTATCCATTTGGCCCACGATTTACCGATCAGCACATCTACACCCAGCCACGCTGCTTGGGTTTAAACAGACCTTTGCCCAAATTCCTAGCATCTTCTCATTTTCAGGGAAATGTGAAGGGAAAGCTCAGGTAATTCATGGATCCGCTCCACAAACACGGCGCGCCTCATCTGCACTCGGCATCCTGCCGGGTGCCTGAAGGAAGTCAGCGAGGTGACTGCAGCTCCAGAACCGGAAGGGGGCGACCAGGCCTGGCCCCGGGGCTGACAGGGAGCGGCTCTCTCCTCAGGGACCAGGGAGCTGGGCGCGCGTCACGGCTTCCCACGGCTCCATTTTTATGTGTCCCCAGAAAGCTGCTTTAGAACACTGCCGTCTTCTAGAGGTCTGAACATTGGTAATCAGGTCCATCGGCCCCACTGATGTGTGACATGTAGGCAACTTGCTTCTGGGAAGCCCAAAGGCTTCCCTGGTGGTGGTGGCATGAATCAGAGCCGCGGGGGCAGGAAGGTCCGGACAAGGTGGCGAGCTCTGCTCCCCCTCTTCTCTGCACAGCAGGCTGGGCCGGGGAGCCTCCTGCCCTTGACAGTATGGTGGGCCCAGCTTCCAGTGTTCTGGCCCAAGGGCTCTGGGGCCCTCTAAGTCCTTTTGGACCCAGAGGGCATGACCTCAGGAGGAGGCTAGGATGTGTCCTGGCCATCCTAACAGCTGGCCCTCCAGAGCCTCACCTAGCGGGGACCCCAGGGTCCTGGGAGCACTGAGCAATCCCCCCTTGACCCTGGACTTCCTCCTTCCCCCTTTGCCACTTACCACCTCGGTGCTGGCCTCCACCCCAGCCTACCCAGCACCCACCCCAGCCCCACTGGCTTCCTTCTCTGAGTTTCTTGCCCCTGCTCGTGACCCAGCGGCTCCCTGCTGCTCACCTGCCGCCTTGGTGAGTTCTGTCCCACCGCTCAGTGGCCAGGGCAATGCTGTCCCCACCAAATGGCAGGCTCCCAAGGGCAGGGACCTTTATGGGGGCCAGAACTGCAAGTAGCTATGCCCACCACAGGACCCACAGAGGCCTCCTGCTGGCTGTCCCCCTCTCTTTCTGTGGTCACTGAGTGCTTGTCACCTTTGTCACCACCATTACCTCCTCCTTACAAAGGGGCCCTGGGCCAGTCAGCATCTCGGGGGCAGGCTGCAGGAACCAGCTGCAGCTGGGCTGAGCAGAGAAGGGGTTTCACAGCATCCTGCACAGGCGCAAGCCCGGCTCAGGCCCACCCGGCCAGGAGCAGTGCCACAAGTAAGGCCACAGCTGTGTGGGGAGCACAGTACTGCTGTACCAGGCTCGAGACACGCAGCCTGTGCCCATGATGCCACTAACAGATGGGGGCCCCAGGTGGCCACCCAGGAGCCAGGCCCTGCAAGGGCCACCAGGGAGAACACCTACCAGACCGCGACCCGGAGTCTGGGCTCACCTGACCGGTGAAGCCCAGGACAGGCCCAGCATTTCCAGCCGCGGCACACATCGGGACAGACAGGGATCCACCGCCCATTCTCAGCTCTGGTCGCGTCACCGGGGGCAAAGCCTTCCAGGGCCTCCACGTGACCGAGAGAAGCCACCGCGGGGGGGAAAACACTGCCGACAGGGTGAGTCTGGGAAGGGGCAGTCCCGGGCACTCTCAGTCGGGAGAGGTGATGGGGGGCTGCAGCTGGGGCGCCGGGGAAGGCTTGCGGGAAGGGGGCAACATGACAGCAGCAGGGAGGGCGGTCCAGGGAGGGCGCCTCGTGCCGTGAAGCAGAGACCTCACTCACAGGGGCCCAGAGATCGCCTGCCAGCCAAAGCCGCACTAGGGGAGTGGGGGGCCAGAGGCCAGACCACGGGCCACTGCCCTACCGCCTCTCCACGGGCTCCAACCACAGACCACCACTGAAGCTCCTCAGAACCTGGGCCAGACCCGGCAGGGCTGGGGCCGGCAGAGCCATGGAGAACGGAGACACACCCCAAGCAGAGCACCTGGGGAACGAGTCGGCACCCAAGTCACCCACTCATCGTGATAAAGTTACGGGGCTCAAAGACGGCTGGGCAAACCCTTCCAGGCTCCCCTACGTGGCACCCAAGTTGTACACATCTGTGAAAATGCTTTAAAAGGAGAACATCCATGGCCTTTCTCCCCACCTAATTTCTCACACGCATTTATGTGATTAATTTCAGTTTCTTAAAATCTAACACCTTGAAACTCCAGCCCTGCTCATGAGTAATTATTTATAAACAGTGTCATAAAAGGCTGCTTGACTGCTAACAGTAATCAACTTCTTCAAACCACTTCAAAGGAAATCAAAAACCCTTTCCGTCCAGAGATCCTTTTGAGGTTTAACTAGGAGCATGATTGAAAATTCACAGGAAAGCCCTCAGGTATTGGGGCTCTAATACACAGCTTTCTTGGACAAACGTTTGATGAAAAACGAAACATACCATCATATACAGCATCACCGACTTTAATATCGCCCAGGGCTACCGTAAACGCTCACTTTGTACTAAATCTGCCTTTCTTGCGGCAAACGGGCCGCCAGCCCATGTGCTGGTGGCCCCTCTCGGTCCCGCCTGTGCACGCTCACTAGGACGAGTCCAGAGACTCCTCTCCCTCTATACCAGCCACCGGCAGTGTCACCGTGTGTCGCAGTGAGCCCCTGCCCACCCACCACCCTTGCCCAGTAAGCTGAAGTGCTGAGCGCCCGACCTCCAGGTAACACAAGCCCGACCTCCAGTTAACACAGGCCACTGCAAGGCCGACACTCGGAGGCGTGACAATCTGACCCACCAGCCCAGGGCAGCATGAATGCTCACTAGACATCGGGGGGACCTCTCCACACCTCCCGTCCTCTTCCAGAACATATAAGGTTGGGGCAACCTGTTTCCAGCTTCTCACTCCTAGAAGAGTCACAGAAGCATAGTCTCCTCCCCTGCCACCCCCTTTTTTCCCACATTTTTGCTTTACTTGTCAGTGAAGCCCTGGGCACAGACAGGCAAACTCCCAGCTGTCCCTCCCTGCTTCCCATGGGAGCAGTTGGGGCTTGAGCCAAAGGGCATAGGTGTTCCAACATCCATAGGAGATCCAAGGCCTGGAAGTGGGGGCGGAGGGCTGTGGAAACAAATCAACCCCTCAAAACAGTGGTTAATGAAGAGCCAGTGACTCTACTTACGAGAAAGCATCTGGACCAAAAACCCTGACTCCAGCTGTTCAGGACAGACAGGAGGCCAGCCCCCGGTCAGGGCTAAACAGAGCGGGTCTGGACCCTTCACCCCTGACGAAGAACAGCAGAGCAGGTGTCGTGCAGAAAATGGAATCAAGGCTCCGTGGAGGGGGGCCTTGGGGAGCAAGCCCCATGAAGGAAGGAAAGGGGTGCAGAGGAGGACAGAAGGATGTGGGAAAGAGCAAGGACGAGACGAGCAAAGGTGGCCACGAGGCCAGTGCCCGACGTCAGCTGGGCTGTGTTTAAAACGGAAAGATGACGTCTGAACTTAAAGAGTCTGGTGAAGTGGAGAGCTTGACACTGAAAATTAAGTCTGCACACAGAGGGGCAAGATTAAATACAAAGCGAAGATGGGATCTGCTTCAAATGTCAGGGTCTTGGATTCCCGCTGGGGAAGCAGGCTAAGCTTTGAGGCTCATGACTTAAGGACACACAACGTGGCACACCCACCCCTAAGGAAAGTCTCTCACCAGAAGTATGAAGTGCATCTCAACCCAGCTTCTCAGAGTTCAAATGGTCATTATTTTGTCAAGTATAATTTTTAGTTTAGAAACCTCTCATGAAGCTTTTCACTAGTGGAAACTCCACCTTGCACTGCCGGAAGCCCTGCGGGGCCATGGAGGCCTCGTCAAGCCCACAGCCCAGCCTGAAGCATCCTTCCCACGGCTGCCACCGACCAGGCCAGAGCTGCAGTGCCTCGGCTCAGCAAACCAAACACACCCATTCTACAAATGAGGAAACCGAGGCCCAGAGAGAGCAATGATCTCTCAGTGTCTCTTTACATATTCACAGGAGGATTCTGAAGATCAATCATGGGGCCACTGGGGGTGGGGGGCTTCATTGAGCTGCACTTTCACTGTACCCTGTGCTTTGCTCTTGTTTTACTTTAACTCTTGAGTTTACTTTAACCTTTACTGTGCTTTGATTTGTTTATTTGGTGGTAGCTATACAAGAGAGCTGAAAACGGAGAGAAATGCTCCTAGCAGCCCTCAAATAGCAGAGCTCAGCAACACCGAACCCCTGTCCAGCCTCAGGCCCAGGGAAGTGGGAATGCAGAGATGTCTTCCTCTGGCAAACGGGGGGCCCGGGGAGGCCTGGGTGGTGAGCTGCAGCAGGACTGCCAGGAAGGAAGGTGGCTTGACCACCCTCCCCACCCCATGGAGCAGGTGAACCACCCTCTTGCACCATATGATAAAGAGCCAGCCAGAGAATGGGGGCCTCTTAGAGGAGGCTCTGCAGGGCAAAGCGAGTCACACCAGGAATGCAAGAAGGCAGGGTGGACAGCGTGAGAAGGGGGTGCCCCTGAGCCCCATGGCCATGGCTCCATCTCACCCAGGGCATACCGATTCTCAATTCTGCCTAGATGCAGGCTCAGAAAAGGGCCCTGATGGGGCTCTGTCTGCCCCACCTTACTTAGTTGGTGAAATGGCACTGGGACCCAAGAAGCCCCTCCCTACCTCTGATGTCTGCAGCCAAGCCTGAGACTACATCAGGGCTGCGGGCAGGGAGCGCTGCAAAGACCAGATGGGCAGGGAGCACCTGCAGGCTTGCAGTCTCCTCTCTCTTACCCTTTATTTTTTGTTAACTACTTAGCATTCCTTCCACATTGTAGGACTCTGAACCCCACAATGGGGCAGTTGGGCCTCCATCCCTATCGCTGCACCAAGCGCTGACTTCACTGGTGCGCTGGCAGCTCCTGCAAAGCAGCTAGTGCGTCAAAGAAAGAAACATCAAAGCTCCAAGACACCAGTTTCCCTGGCTCACGCAGGACAGAATGACACTCCACTTGGCAAACTGACAGCAGAATGGAACCTCTTCTCCCAGTCCCAGGCTCTGTGCTCTGGCCCTGCGTCTGGCGGACCTGGGCTGGGGCTGAGGATTGAGGAGCTCTGGACCTCATTAAAGGGCACTCATCATGAGACCAAGGAAAACCCAAGTGCTGCCTGCCTAGGTAGACCAGAAACCCAATTCATACCCGACCAGGGGAGTAAGCACAGAGCTTAATCCCAAGAGGCGACATCAGCTGCGGCACTCTAAAGCGTTAATGACTGATTCTGAGTTTTTCATTTTAATAACTTGCCAAGACAGTTTTTTCACTGGTGCTCCAAAAGAAATTAAGGTGACACCAAGTTGTCAAAACCCCTCCCCACCCTGTCTGACCTCCCCTCAAACACAGGGAAGACAGAGTAGTCCACAGCTGTTCCACGGAGGAGGGGAGCACACGGAGTGTGAGGGACCTCCCAGGGGCTCACCGTCATCGTTGTCTAGTTGCAAGTGATTGATCATGAACTGGATGGGGTCGGAGGGCTGGTGGATCAGGAGTTGCTCCAGCATGTTCTGTGAACACAGGGCAGACACCGAGGTGGTTAACACCTGCATGGGCACAGAGGGTCCAGGGCTCAGGGGGCCTAGCACCCTGGTTGCTATGGATATTGGTTATGGGGCCTGATCTCTCCACTGCACCCCACCAAACATGCCTTCAGCTCGGGACTCTGCCCCCACCCCAGCTGGCATGTGCTTGGGTCCCCGTGAGCAGAAGCATGAGGGAGGGACCATGTGGGTATGGCTGCTGCAGCACCATGGGAGGGATGGTGCCCTTGACTCAGCAGGCAGTCCCGGGCCCTCTCCCCATAGTCCCTTTGTGCTTCCCAGACCAGCCTCCTCCCAGACCTTCTCATGCACCATGCTTATTCACCCCTCGGAGCCTTAGCAAACGCTGTTCCCTTGGGTTGGAACACTGTTTCTTCAAGCCCTCAGGTCCCAGCGGAAACATGGCTTCAGGATCACACTCCCTAGGTCAGTCCTGTCATGTGCTCCTGCAGCCCCCATGAACCCTCATTAATGCACTAGGTACTCAAAGCAGGTGCCTGCTGGGGAACCTGTGTGCCTCCAGGGGGACAGAATATTTGCCAGCCAAATATCTAAATAGTCCAGCCACTTAATTCCAAAGGGAAAGCAGCTTCCATGTTTCCAGAACAAAAGATACAGAAATGAACCCAGTAGCTGAGAGGAGCTGGGCTGGTGCCATAATCAGCATCCTTCAGGGACAAGCAGGGAGGGCCTTCGCCCCCTGGGGGCAGAGGGCATGTGGCTGGGAGGGAGACCACTGAATGGTGCTGACCCTGCTCCGCACCTCCCCGTGGAGTCCCTCCCCTTCTCGGGGTCTCAGCCTCCCAACCTGTCAATGGCACACACGGCCAAGCTCCCTAATCATTTACCACCAGTGAGATGGTGTGAGGTGCCTGTAGACAGGTCATAGATGAGTATTTTCAATTTTACTTTTAGATAGTTGCATATCTAATGTGTATGAGAAAAATTAGTCCATCAAACCTGATTTCAAGGATATTCTTAGGATGAGGTAAAATAAGTTGATTTTTTTAAAGTGGGTTGATTTAAAGAAATACTTAAGCTAAAATGGAAATGTGGTAGTGGTTCTATGAATCTATACCTGTGATAAAATTTCATAGAACCACACACCCACCAAAAAAATCATGAGCACAGGTAAAAACGGATGAAATTCATAGGTCTTATCATCCAGTTCACAGTATTGCACTGATGTCAACTTCCTGGTTTTGAGAATGTGTCGATATTGGGGGGAAGCTGGGGGCAGGGTACATCAGCGCTCCATACTATTTTTGAAACTTGCCCAATTTTTTAAAAATAAAAAGTGTAAGAAATGAAAAGGTAAAACCCACGGAGAGAGCACACAAATGACTAAGGACTAGAAATACTGATTAAAGACTTTTTTCAGGCTGCTCTTTCTAGCAATCATTACGAGATACACCAGATTCTCTAAGAACAGACCACAGTGCTCCCAGGAGCTGCCCATCCTGTCCGCCACCCAGTGACTTAAACTCAGTTAGCCATTTTCTTTACTTAGATTGGCCAACTCCGTTTTAGAAATCTGTCTCTCGCCCTCCATCAGTTACCACTTTCCAAAGGCAGCATGTATTTGCTGGCAAGATGGAGACTCGGGATACTCAGTATGAGCTCTGCTCTCATGCGTGCAGGTCAGAGGCACAGGTGACCACGGGCGTCACCACGACGAGGCCTCTGAGAAGGGTATACCGGGAAGAGCAAATGCTCTGGAAGCTGCACTCCAGCCTCTCTTTGGCCCTCAGAACCTGAGTGACTGCTAGTGCTTCCAGTCCAGCTCCTGAAATCTCTACCTCCAAGAAGTGCAGAAGGGAAACCTGGAACACAAGCAGGGGCAGGGCTTTGCCGAAGGTCACACAGGGAGTGGGGACAGGAACCCAGGATGAGAGCTTGGGAGCAGCCCGAAGACTCCTGGCCCCGAGCAGGAAGGGCCAGGCGGGAAGTGCTGCTATCCAAACCGGGCTGCTGTCCCAGGAGGCGGCCATCTCAGTGGATGGCGATGCCACCTTGAACTCGGACACTCCCCAGCTCAGAAGCCAATACGCGGACAGGGGGTGAGCCCTTGAAGCCGCATTTCACAGATGGGGGAGCTGAGAAAGGAAGGGACGTGTGCGGCTGTCGAGCCAGCTGGCGCGGAGCAAGGGCCGAGTCCTGGCCAGGATGACCTGCCCCCTTTCCTCCCTCCTGGGTCCGCGGGACAGGGACAGGGGAAGTCTTCAGTCCGAGGGATCCTCGGGGTCATGACGGTACAACAGTCGGACACCACAAACGTGCCGCCCAGCTGCGGGGTGGCCGCCACGCAGCCTGGTACCACGACAGAGCTTCCCCAGCCACCGCCCGGTGTCGCGACAGGGCGAGGCCGCCCGGGTCACCTGCATCATCTTGAAGATGTGGTTCTCCTCCCCGTACTGGGGCATTTCCGGGGGAATATGCTGCGGGGCAGTGGACACGTCCATGTAGCCCAACATCGCGACCGCTCCCCGGTGACCGCCGTTGTTAGGGGAATGGAGGTGGGGTCGGGCATACGTCATCAGAGCTCGCCCCGCCCTGGTGACCGCCGTCGCTAAGGGCGCCGCGTAACGTCATCAGCGCGCGTCGAGCCCGATCCCAGCTAGCACGCTCGGCCGGCCGCCTGGGGCCAGTGCTTCCCCGCTAGGCCTGTCTCTGCGGCCTGCGCGTCTCAGTGGGGCGCTTCGGGACGCTTCCAGCTGTGGCCTTCTAGGACCACAGGTGTCCCTGGTAGGGGACTCCCTGTTCTGAGACCTGACAACACCCAAAGGGCACATCGGCCCCGGGGCGAGAGGGGCGGGAGGCGGCTCCTGCCCCTGCTCCGACAGTGCACCCTGCCCGCGCGTTAGGAGCTCCGTGGGCCAGCCCCCGCTCTGCTCTCCGGGCCTGTTTCCCATCTTTAAAATGAACAGATGTCGAGGAGGAAATCTGAACAGGGAGCAGTGTCCATGGGGCGGGCCGGAAGACCGAGGGTCCCGCAGGAGCCGGGGAGGCCCTGCCGCCGGCTCGGCCTGAGGCGGGGCTTCCACGTGACGCGGTTACTATGGCACCGCGGTAACAATCAGGCCCCACCCCTCCGCCCCGACTTCCTCACCGCCCCCAAGCCGCCCGCAGGGGCCCCGGACGCCCACGGAGGCACCCGGGCTCGGGACGCTCTGTGAGTGACGGCGGCTCTAGCACAAGCAAGGTTAGAGCGGGTCAGGGGCGGCCCACCCAAGCCCCGGGGTCGAAAACTGGGGTGGGGGTGGAGAATGGAAGGAACTGCCTCTGCTACCTCGGGAGGCAGATGTGGGGACACGCTCGGGAAAGGAGCGCTGTGAGTAGTGTCAGTCCCCAGTGGGGTGGGCGGCCTGATATCGGAAGCAGCATTGAGCTGGGAGTTCTTGCTCTTGTCTGTTGCCATTTTTTAGGAGCAGCGGTCTTTGAGCTCTCTGTACTCAATAAAACCGTAGTGTCTGTGGAGGCGGGTATTACGCTAGGAAGAGTATGGGAATTGGGTTTGAATGCTGCCTCCACCTCCTACTAGCTGTGTGAGCCGCCTGTGCTTTACTTCCCTCCTCTGTGAAGTGGGGATTATGGGAGGATTCCATGAACTAATATATCTGAAGCATTAGTAACTGGCATGTAGTAACAGATAAGACATAAGGGCTACTATTAGTAATATTCTCTCATTTAATCTTGTCACCAGCCCTGAGAAATAGGTATCTTCACTCCTATGTGTACAAAGGAGAAACTGGAGGATCAGAATGGTGACTTTGCAGAGGGACTTTGGGCAAGTCATTTCTCCTTTCTGGGCCTCCTTCCTCATCAGATCTTGGTCACAGAGAATTAGACTCATGAGTCCCTTGAAGAGCCTCTGATCCAAACTCCCTATTGTACAGATGGATAAACTGAGGCCCAGAATGGGAGAATTTCTTGACTGAGTTCCTTGTTAATCAAAGGCGGGGCCAGTGCCGGAACGATGTGCAGCCTGGCTCCTCGCTAAATCCTTTTCCACCAGCCACTAGCCCGGAGACATGCCCTCCGATAGTAAAAGGTGCAGTTCTGCCTCTCACCGTCACGTGCACACCTTGGTAGGCTTGTCAAACCCAACTGCAAAGACATCTGGGGAAGAAAAGGAAGCCGCCTTCCCCTGAACAAGAACACAACAACCAAGCCTGCAGTTTGCACTGGAGAGGTTCAGTCTGCTCCCTAGACATCTCTGAAATGACTTGCCTTTCTCCTCATTTATTTTAAGCCCTAGGCATTTTTCATAACACGATTTAATCTTCCTTAGCAGCCTGGAAAAATACAAATCAATTAAAGCCTAAAACCTATTGGGTAACCATTTTTTCCTTCCTCCACCCCCAGATTGGGAAGTGCCTGCACCCTGTGCCTTTCATCCAGACTAATTTGGCTGCAGTGACTCTCGTTCAAGGGACGATCACTTTGGATAGCTTATTACAGCTCTTCTCACAACATTCCTGGCATGCATATCACAAGTCGTTAGGATCAAGAACTAAGTCAGTTTTGCTCTCAGGGACTCTTGGGGCCAGCAGCTGAGGTAGTGCACTATCCCTGGAGAACTCCGCAGCCCCAAGAAGCCCCAGAAAGGTAGCAGGGGACCAGACACACAGGACAGTCCCCTGAATGCCAGAACTCATGCTTTCGGATTGAGAGCCAGGAGCAGTTTCAATGGCAGTGGAAACAAGGCCCAGGAGTCCAGCTAGTGCATGACCCCAGGAGGGTTCAGGAAGTTCTTCAGGTCCTTGGTATCCACCCTCATCCCTGACCCCCAGCTACAATCTGATGCCTGGAATGTTTGTCTCGGAGGACCATCACAGAGGAAAGGCAGGAGATACCCAATTAAGAGCCCAGACTTTGTGAAGTCAGGCAGAGCTGAGTAGGAAATCCTGGCTTGCTCACTTCCTAGCTGTGTGACCTTGGCTTCGTCATTTGTCTTGTGGGGATAATTGCGGTACTATGTTCACAGGGCTGTGGTGAGAACTTGAAATACGGCATGTACAGGGCTTTCCTAGAGCCCCATTGAGTAACCTGCTATTCTTCGGAGGACTGGGCTGTTCAGATCTTGCTGAAGGCTGGAGCACAGCTCTAGTTGGTGCTGACCCCATCCCCTGCTCTCCCAAATGCACCTCTCGCAGACCAAGTGGCCCTTCATCTCCAGGTTCCCATCCCACTTCCCTGCTTCATTTTCTCTATAGCAGTGCCCTTGTCTAAAATACGGCTCATTCACCTATCCTTGTTGTCTGCCTCCCACTCTAAAAGACAGGTTCCCCCAGGGTAGGGAATCTTGGCTACTTTGTTCCATGCTGTGTATAGCCCAGCGTCCAGAATAATGTCTGGCACATGGTAGGTGCTGCAGAATGAATGAATGAACAAATGAATGAATGCATGTACCTCTTACGCCCTTTGGCCTTTATGGTTCTCAGCTTTGCCCGACTCTCAGGGTCCCTCGGCCTCACCCTGTCCGCTGACACCTCCTGTGCCACCTCCCCAAAGCCTCCCTTTTCAAACCACCCCTGGTCCAGGAGGTCAATTCCTCAGCAGCCTCTGCCTCTTCGGAGTGCCCACCATGCCCACTGCATGATTTAGTCGCCATGGCACTGCCTTCCAAGCTCTAGGACCCACACCGTACCCCTGCTAGACATGCAGTGCTCACCCCAAGGCTGGGAGGCTGACACTCTCATCTCTCCTGGCCCAGCATATTAGGGCACTAAGGCTCAGCCCAAGGCCGGCAAGAAGTGGCAGAAGCTGGATTTCAAGCCTGGACTGTGTGGCTGCAGAGCTTGGGTTCTTAAACCACTAACCACAGCTCTGAGCATTATGGGGGTGCCCGACTAAAAGCAACCCCCAGCCCCCGAAACCCACCTATATGCCAGGCTCTAACATTTCTATTCTAGGTCTCCAACTCCTGAGTCATTTGTAAGCCCTGGGCCCGAAAGAGGGTGAGGCAGTTGCCCTGGTGCACAATGTAAGGGGGGTGATAATCGAGAGGAATAATATTTTAATGCAATTAATTTAAAAAATCAAAATGCAAAATCAATTTAGAATAAAATAGCCAAAATTTAAATAAAAACATGCTCAGTATTACTTTTTCCTTTTGTGTCAGGCTCCAGTTTGAGAAGGTACAATGCTGTACCCTATCCTATTTAAAATTCTGACTTTTTGTTTTTGGTGTTAACTTTCACTTTTTAAAATAGTGTGTTAAAATTTTTACCTATTTTGATGGCTGGATTTTCTGGCATCCCTTAGATTTTGCGAGAAGGTGAGTGCCTCCCCTGCCCTAAGGCAGGTGTTCAGCCTACAGCGGGCTCTGCTGCATCCGCATAACCCAGGCTCCCATTCCCAAAGGGCCCACTGCAGGGGGTGCTGGGTGAGGAAGAGGCTGAGCTGGAAGGAAGCCCCCTGCCTGGCCCCCGGGCCAGGCCACACCCAGTGCAGCTGCAGCTGCTTTGCTGGCAAACAGGCACTAGGTCTCCCAGGGTGACCTCAGGGCGCAGCCGCTGAACTGCTCCATTATATTTACAGTAGACCCACTCGGTCTACAGGACCTGTTGGGGTCCCTCGTGGTGCAGCTCCTTTATCGCAATCTGGCTGTGTTTCAGCTCCCAGCCCAAGACTGGGGCTCCATCTCCCCAGCCCTCCCCACCTTCTCTGCCTTACCCCTCCCAGCATGGAGGCCATCTTCTGGTCTATCCTCCTTGCGTTTCTTTTCGCCCCGACCAGTGCCATCTCCTCTTGGGACGCCCTCCCTGGCTTCAGCCCTGCTCTGGACTCAGAATGCTGAGGCAGACACAGCAGAAAGAAAGGCCTTGGCACCAATCTGTTCTTCCTTCTCTCCACCGGGGGCCTGCCCAGAAGCCTGGAATGTGTCGGTCCCACCTGTGCTTGCCATGTGTTCTGGCACCTTCTGCCTGCAGCATCTTGCCTGGAACCTAGCTCGGTGCAGCCTCCCCTGACACTCCTCAGGCAGGGCATGTCCAAGCCTGTTACTCAGTGTGCACTGGTGCCTCATGGTAGAGGGGCGGCTGGCTGTGGCACCTCTGAGGATGCTGGTGAGACATCAGGAAGCCTGAGACCTAGGGGTGTCTCTGGCACAAGTCTGCTGTGATACCCTGGGCCTCAATTTCCCCCAGAAATTAAGGGGAGTTGATCTGCTGAAGTCCCTTCCAGCTCTAACATTCCACAGATCTGTGACCTGGAGCATTTTGCATGTGCTCAGGAAAACTGTGATGCCATGGAGGGCAGAACCCGCAGCCTTTTCTGATCACAGAGGAGATTCTAAACGCGTTGTGGGCTGCCTAGATCACACCAGAGACAGTCTGTGAGGCATCAAAAGAGGCACTCCCGCAGCACTGATGTTTCCAATCAGGATCATTCCTGCAATTAACACGGAAGGCAGGGAGGAGTTGCCAGCAGCCCACCCCTGCCCTGGGAACGGGCAAACCGGTGATCAGGCCTCCTGCCCAAGCCCAGAACTGGGAAACTGCATCTGCTCAGACTGGACAGTCCAGCGCTGACTCTTGCCCTGCTGAGCCTATGGGAAAGAACCCCTAAACTTTCCTACCAATTGCAGAGTGGCAGATGTTTTAGAACAATTTGGTCCAAACATATATATATATATAAAGAGAGAGAGAGAGAGAGACAGAGAGAGAGAAGATAACCACAACCTGGAGAAACTGAGGACCAGAGGATTTCTTGTCCACAGCTGAAGGAAGTCACATTTCATGGCAAAGAACATATGCCTGGAGGGTCAATGGCTGGGGGTCAGGCTCTGCTCTGCCGTGGACAGCCAGGGGTCTTGATGTGCGCAGCCTGCCGACGGGAGGGGCCGCGGACATCCTCTCTGCAGAGCTGGTCCCAAGGCCTGGCGCGGGACCTCATGGCTGTCCTCTTCCTCCCCACAGCATCCTCTCCTCCCGTGCCTGCCCACGGAGGAAGACGATGAACGAGGTGAAGGAGGCCCTGCGGAACGTCGAGCAGAAGTACAAGCTCTTCCAGCAGCAGCAGTTCACATTCATCTCTGCGCTGGAGCACTCCCGGGAGAATGCCCACAGCAAGATCCGGCCCATCTCCAGCATCGAACAGGTGGTGCCTGCTCAGGGCCGGTGGGCGGGGGCCGGGGTCCTGGGCATGCACCAGACGCAGACATTCTGCTGGGGAACTAGGCCCAGTCCCCTTGCTCCAAAGATGAAACTCTGAGGCCCAGGGAGGGCACACACGCTTGTGCAGGAAAGGGGCTTGGCTCCTAGCTGGTAGGATGAGCCATTCCCTCCCATGCCATGTGTGGGAAAAAACACAGGAAATGTGGGCTCTAGACAGCAAGCCAGGGTTTAAGTCCTGGCTCAGTCATATGCAGCTTCCAGGACCTTGGGCCAGTGAGTCACCCCTCTTGGCCTCAGTTTCCTCATCTGTCAACTGAGAAGAACAGCACACCTCATAGGGCTGTTTTCAGAGTTAAGGACCTGACCACAGCAGACACCCAGACAGGCCCAGGCTAAGTGCCAGGATTGACGTGAACAGGCACAGATGGTCCCAGCTATCAGTCCACTGGGGTTTGAAAAACCATAGCACGCCAAGCCCCCGGCTGGGCTCAGCTCCACGGCAGACGTTTCTGTTTGGCCCGTGTCTTCTCGTGGGTTAGCTGCTAGCCACGTTTGCTCTGCAGGACTGGGAGACCTCAAGACCAAATGGGCCTTCTGGGAAGCAAGGGCTCAAGGCTCGGCGCATCAGGAACATGCACCTAGGCAGACCTTCTCTGACCGCAAAGATGCTGCCTGTGAAGGGGTTGCCTTGACAAAGGCCAGCCACTCCCAGGGTGGGGTGGACGTGGGGACCAGGGCTCAGAGCCGCTTAGGAGAAGCACAGAGGGCCACGGAGAACAGCAACCCTGTTGGCAGCATCCTTCAAAAACATTTTTTTTCTAATTTTTATAAAAATTCCTCACAATTTTTTAACTCAAAAAATTTGAAACCTACAGAAAATGAACAGCCATGTGACCTTCACCTAGATACACAAATTTGCAGTAGTTAGCCAGGTCTATACTCTCCCCCAAGACACTCACGCTTTACCCTGAACCATTTGAAAGTAAACTGTCTGAACCCTTTGAGCCTATCCCCCAAAGGCTCAAAGGCACTAGACAGGTTTTCAGTATCAGGAAAGATCACCTGATACCCACCCCCACCTTTGCTCAGAATCTACATCCGTGCTGTGTGGCCCCATCCTCTCCTGTGCACAAGGGAGCGGCCTTCTTGTCTTAGACCCAAGAAGGCTCTGGGTAAGCCATAGCCCCCATTTTGACTGTCCATCTAAGTGGAGCCTCTCAGCCCTCACCCTGCCCTCCCGGGACCACAGATACCAGCAGATGATCTGCACACGCGGCAGGCAGTCCAGCAACTGCGCCACAGTACAGGTTCCTCATCCACCAGGGGTCCCGGGCAGGCGTGTGCAGTGGGTGTCAAAAACCTCTTCCCGCTTACAAAGCTACTGTACTTGGGAAACAACTACTTCAGGGAGTTTGGGGAAGACACACCCAGCAACCAGAATGCAACCGAGGCAGCGGGGAACTCTAAGGTGTGGCCTTAGAGTTCATGGGAGCTGGGGAAGGTGGCTGACGCCCTCTTCCATCGGATCGCGGGGCAGGGGAAAACCATTTGACCTTGAAATGGGTCAGTTAATCCTGCCTGGAACTGAGCGGGTTCCTCCCAGCACAAGGTCAGGCCTCCACCCTTGCCCGACCTTTGACTGGGTCACTGGGTGGCCCCGGGGTTCCTCTGGAGAGAAAGGGCCCTGACCCAGAAGGGAAGGCGCCCCTGTCCCCCCAGGAAAAGGAGTGGAGAGGAGGTGAGCTGCCGCACCATCCTTAGCCCCTTTCATGATTTGTGTAAGTAAGGTCCTCTGCACTCATGGCTGAAACACATGCCCGTGGGAGGGTCAGTTTGTTTGGGGCGCCAGAGTTCCCCATCCTCCCAGAGTTGATCTTTGACTATGGTGTGAGGCATTTTTGTCTACATTTGTTTCTCACATGGATAACCACTGACCCCAGCTGCCCTCATCCCGCTTTCTCTACCTTGGAAACACAGGACAACAAAACTGCAAAGGATTCTAGTTCCTTCTGTTTGCTCTTCAGTCAGGGTGGCCCAACCCAGCAGTTCTGAGCAGGTGCTCTAAGAGGGCCTACGGCAAGACACCAGCCCTCTGCTTCAGGAGTCAGCTTAGAGGCATGGGGACCGGGAGGGGTGAGGCTCAGAGCCATCAAGCTGGTGGTGAAATCCAGCCTCACCACTTCCAGTGGTGCCTGAGCAGCGCTGTTCACCTCTCTGAGCCTCCGGTGTTCATCTGTAAAACAAGTACTTAAAAAGGCATCCATTGTACAGGGTGTAGGTGAGGATGGAGTGAGATCGTGCCCAAGAGGGGCACGGGGCACAGTCCTCGGCCACTCACTAACGTTTGCTATGTATAGAGGTCTGTGCATCCAGATGCTTAGACATTGCTGGCATTTCTCTGTGACTCTGGGAGGCTAGTAGGAATGGGGTGAAGGGGTGAATGCTCCTGGGGGTTTGCCCGCAAACCAGCCAGGGTCTGGGTTGGGGCCTCCTCAGGTGCAGAGCTACATGGAACACCACTGCAACAACTCCACAGACCAGCGCATTCTGCTCATGTTCCTGGACATCTGCACGGAGCTGAGCAAGCTCTGCCAGCACTTTGAAGCCCTGCACTCTGGCACCCCGGTCACCAACAACCTCCTCGAGAAATGTAAAGCCCTTGTTAGCCAAAGCAATGACTTAAGTAGTCTTAGAGCAAAGTAAGTCTCCCTCTGGTCCTGTTCTTAAGGTCCCAGCGTGTGCATGTGGGGAGGGGGCAGGGACAGGAGAGGAGGGTCCCTGGAGAAAGAGGGCAGGGAAGTCTGAACAGACTCATGCGGCTACTGTCTAAACCTCCCTAGGAGGGAATACTAGGCCCAGGGAGGTACTGGGATGACTCTGACCCAACAATCTGGCAGAGAGAGGCGCCTTGCCTGCATTTTGAAACCAAGGGATTCTGAGGCCCCAGATGCAGTCGGGATACAAGCCCTCTTACTGAATAGCCAGGCAAAGGGAAGGGAGTCATACAGCAGTTGTTTCCCAAAGCCCATAAAGCAGCAGGACGTCTGGAGCCTGTTCCCATGGGTGCCAGCACCACCAGTGTGGCTCCTTAATCCTGAGCCCTGGGGAATCCACAGCATGAAGTACCAAATTCTTACTCTAAGTGTTAGGGTAAGAAGGGTCAGAGGACTCACCAGCATGCATGAGAATGATTAAAGCAGGTTTCCACAGCCCAGCCCAGGTCTGTACAAAGCACAGGCAGGTGAGTGATTCACAGCACCTGCCATTCATACTTGTTTTACCTGAGGCTCTGGCCCCCCAAGCCTGCTAAACCCCAGTGTGTAGGAGAGGAGCCTGGCATGGTCCATGCACAATTCTAAAGCCTCCCCAGGGGATTCTGATGTGCAGTCAGGGCTAAAAACCTCTGCCAAGGTCTGGACCCTGGTGGGTCCCTCTTGCCACCCCGCAGATATCCGCATGACGTGGTCAACCACCTCAGCTGTGATGAAGCCAGGAACCACTATGGAGGCGTGGTCAGCCTCATCCCCATCGTCCTAGACTTCATGAAAGAGTGGATCGCCCATTCAGAGAAGCTGTCCCGCAAAGTGCTACAGCACGTGAGTGAGCCCCAGCTGGGCCAGGAGGCCACCGGGGCCACCTCTCATCCTTCCCAGACCACAGGCACCCAGCTTTGCTTAAGAAAACACAAGTGTAGGCAACTTACAAAGGACAGCCTCAAACCTAGTGGGAAAGACAAAGGATGTTCTAAGCCTCCCTGGAGACCATCTGGTTGGAAACTCTAACTCAAAGCTGAGACCTGCTCAACTGCACAGGGCACTTTGTGACTTGGTTTCCACTGGTGATCCATTTTCATTGCCACCCATCGTCCCTGCCACTTAGTAACCCCAAAGGGAACTGCCTCATAGATCACGAGGCGCTCTCTCCCCCTCTCCCTCCCATCGTCCCTCCCCTGAGGGTCAGGCCCTGTGCCCGGAAGGCCGGGGAAGAGTTAGGGCCCTGACTGCCCCACCTGGGCCTCCGAGCACTGCCACCCACCAGCCTATGGGCAGCCCACACTGCGGGTCCGGCTCTCCTGGCCCAGCCATCAAGCTGGAGGAGACCACACAGCTCCTTGCCCCCCGTGGTGGCCACGGTAGGCAGGGCCACTCCCTCTGCCCAGGATGCCTAGGGTTGGCACCATGTGACCGGGTCTCTGGAGCAAAGCCCAAAGGGGGACAGACCCACCGTGGCTCTCCTTTACTTGGGCGAGGGAGGCTAGGGGAGAAGCTGGAAGGATTCTGCTTCTGGGCTCCTGTACAAGGACAGTTAGCTGGTGTTCACAGCGTAACGGAGATGCAGACTTTGTCAAATGCCCTGCTGGCTTTTCAGCTTGCTGGAAGAACTGTCTGACTTTTGGTTTTTCCCTTCACAGGGGGCGACTTAGCTTCTGTATTCTTGTTTCCTTGGGGGCGACTGTCAAGAATAAAAAGTGTCCTACTACCTCTCTGCCTGGCTTGGTTTCCTGGGATTTATCCCTTGAATTTATCCTAAGACATCACAGGACGCTGGGCAGTTAGCCTCCCAAGCAAGAGCACTAGTGAAGAGCAGCCTCAACAGGGGCGTTCAGCCCCCAAGAGGGTTGCTTTTGAGGTTCATGCCAAAAACCCACAGCAGGCCAGCACAGTGACTCCTTGAATAGAACCTTTTCAGACAAGAACATCTGAATTTTCCAGACAAAACTGAAAACTGCCATGTCCGAGTCTGTCTCAAAGGAACTGCTTCTGCCATTAAAATGGGCAGAACACACTGACTTCCAGGGGCAGCAGGGCAGAGGTGAGCAATTCAAAACCACACTGCAAATGGAGTTCTCCATCACTGTCCCAGGCAAGAGACGGTTAAGGCCAGGCTGAGTCTGACAATTAGGCCAGGGTGGGTCTAACAATCACTTGAAGATGGTCTCCCACCTCCTTCCAACCCCCCGACCTCACATGGAAGGTGGCGGAGGCAGGCTGCTCCTTTCCTTCACACACTCACAAAACACAGCCTGCAAGGCTCAGAGGCAGTGAGCTCTTGACAACTTCCTGTCACCTGGGCTCCACCACGTGGGCCGTTGACTCCGTGTGCCAGCCACCCGCTAGGACCAGGGCCCGTGTTGAGAGCAGGGCTGGACAGGGAGCACTCCGCAGGCCGCCTGGTTTCAAGAGCTTTCTAAGGATGACTCACACCATCCTGCCGTGCCACCATGCCACTCTTGGGGAAGGGCATGGATTTGAAGCAAGTTGTGGCTATTTGAACAAAAGGGTCCTACAGAGACTAAAGCCAAATTAAGTCAGCACCCTCTGCCAGCCAGCCAAGGTAACCAACAAGTCCAGACCCTGAGGCTTTCGCACCTTTGGACGAGTCCCTCCTTTGCCCATAAGCCCCCTCAGAGGCTGGCGCGAGTCACTTCCTGTCAACACAGCATAGTAGTGCAAAACAATAAATTTTTATTTGTTCACAGTTAAACACAAGCAACTGCCTTGACATTTTAGAACATTCTAAGAAGGACAGCAAACCCTTTTGACTCCAATTCCCATTCACTAAGATTGTACCATTTTCTCTTGCAGTTCACATTTATGGCCCTCTGATGGGGACTGTTTGACATGCTTTTAAGATGGAGGCAGGAAAGTTTAAACCTTTTGACAAGAGATGACTTTCTTAAATTTAACTAAAAGCAGTCAAAAATTTTTTTGATTTTCAGTGATGGGACCTCTTTAAACTGCAAGTTAGCCACATATGATTATCCATGATTGAATCACAAAACTAGATCACATCTCAGCACAACCTGTCCCTCCGCAATATATTCCTACGGTCCATAGAGTCTCCTGAAAAGTGATCGCTGATTCTTCCCAGCGCAGAATGCCTGGCTGCCTCTTTGACAGGCCCACATACCTGCTGCACAGCAGCACCGTACCCTCCTGCCAAACACTGTGCGGGGTGGGGAAAGGGGAGGACAGGTCGTTCTGGGGGGGGGGTGTCTCAGACTCTCAGGAGTCTCCCCTAAAAGATTCCGACTGTTCAACTAGCCTACTAATCCCAGAGGATGGATAATTTTGTGGCACTGGGAAGGTAAGAGGGGGGAAAGGTCCTCGGCCTTCACCAACTGATTTGAGGGCCAGAGAAGTGGGCACAGGTGCTCAACCATCCCAGGCAGGTCTCCCCTGGGGCTGTGGCCACTCTTGTCCCCGGTAAACATACGCAGACTGGAGAACAGCGGGGAGAAGACAGGAACACTGCTCTCCTGTTGCATCAGAGGGTCATGGATGGGAACCCTTTGGGCCACATGGGGAAAAGGGTCACAGGAGCAGCCTTGAGGCCAGGCCCCAACCTAAACTTGCTCTTTCACCTATAGGGAGAAGCTTAATCAAGTGCAATCAATTCCTTTACAGAGGTCTTAGGGAGGAGGGCAGGGACACACGTCACAGAATTCTGGATGTAAACAAATACACAAACATCTTCAGACTGGATGCGTTTTCCAATACCCACTGCTGGTTGACTTTACAGCATGTACCTTAAAAAGTGAAAATGTAGCAGAATAAGGTGTGCTGGTTTGGGCCATTCCATAAGGCAGCTTTCTTCCCCAAGTGAGACACAAGCTCCTGGGTGAGACTGAGATTCTCCAAGGGCTACTCCGGAGAGAGAACTTTCTGAAAGTACCCACAGGTGGCGACACTCTGCCTTGACTGCGGTTCTGGACTAAGCCTTCCCTCTGGCCCAAACCCTCCCTAAACCTGTCCACACTTTCTACCACTTCTTAGTGCTCTCAGTGAGAGAGACTAGGTAGCTTCACACGGTACTTTCTTTCATTTGTTCTTCAATTATTTCCTTCTGGCTTCAAGTGGCATGTTCTAGGATTCAGTGAAAATTCACATTGGCCAGTCACAGCATATCTGTTACACTCTCTACACAGAAACACCTTTTTTTAATTCTTAACTGTATGTCTGAACCTCTGGTCCAGCTCACAGAGATCCTCTCATCGCCACGATCATTGTGTACATCCTCTTCTCCAACTGGTTTCTTGACAAAACTGCCAGAAACTCCATGTGCTGTTGCCGGGAGCCTGGCTCGGGGTCTGGAGGGCTGTTTCCTGTCACTCTGATGTGCAGGCTCTTTGGCCATGGTGGGCTGGTGGGTTAATGTTCTCTTGTCAGGGGTTTCCCAGACCTTCTCCTGGATTGTTAGTTACTTTTAATAAGAGTTTGGACTATTTCCCCCTGAACACAGTACATACGTTCTGGCTCACAAAGTAGCTTATCTGCCCCTTCTCTCTCCACTTGTGAAGCCTACGAAGAACCTTCCGCAGCTCACCCCGAAGGTCAGGTAGCTTCCCCTGAAACAGTCTGGGGACAAACCCAAGGAGGCCACGTCTAACCACTGGCCTTATGAGGCTGACCCTCGCACTCATCTCCAGAGAGACCATTAAACCTCTTGACCCAAGAAACAACCTTCATCTCCTACGTTTGGATTTCAGTCAGTTTTCTTACTCGTGACCAGGTATTTTTTCCAATCCCATACTAACAATTCTTGCAAACTTTATGGCAGAACCTCGTCAAAAGCTTTTTTAAAATTCATTAAGTTCTGTCTGGGAGATCCATGTGCTTCTTTCCTATAGTAGATTCAGGAACTCACTTTTCCTATGGAGGCCATGCTGTCATCTCCATGCTCCCCCCCACCCCAACAATGGTACTGTAGTGCTCCTTTTAAAAACAAATTTTATGCTGCCCAAGAAGCAGGTTCCAGTCTGCTGTGACCCCAGTTAGTGTCAGGTGGGGGTCAGAGTGGGTTACACACATTGGCCAAACAGCTCTGAGGCAGGCAAGCCCGCTCAAGAGACACTGTGGGCAGGCCAACACCCATGAGCTCCAGGCTGCTTCCTCAGTCCCAAGCCAGCTCTGCCCCAACACCAATCCCCTGCCTGTTCCCAGGCCTGAAGTCTCTCTTGGGAGCTCCCCTTCCACCGCAGTTCCATCGTTTAATACTCGCCACCACATGATCAAGTGACCGGCTGATGCTTGGCAGGTTTATCATTTTAAAACCAAACCAAACCTTACTATTAACTCGAGATCTTTACAACACAAAAGCCTCCATTTTTAGATGGGTAACTTCAACATGACTCCACGCCTTAATCTACCTGCCCTGACTGATTAAACCCACGGCTCCTAGAACCCAAAGGAAGCTGGGTGCAGCTCTTCTGGACCAGCATGGTTGTAAGCTGAGCAAACAGACGCCCAAGACCCAGGAATGTGCCCAGGGCCAGAGAGCTGCCTGCAGAGTGCCAGCACGGGCCACCATCCACTTAGCCACACTGCCTCCTTCTTCCCTCTACTTGTACAATCCACCCATTGAAAAAAAATTTTTAATGTTTTTCTTCCTTCACACTGGCTTCCTTGCCTTTGCTAGTTAGAGAAAAGGCTTTGATTTAATCGCCTGGTTATCTTTGTTCTGTGGCACAGATCTCTTGGGCTTGTGGGGGGGGGCGGGTAAGCGTTTTGAACCAGCTGCAATAGTTACCCTGTATTCAGTTTTCCTTTCTGAACTTGCTTGTGTTTTCCTTTGCTAAAACTGGATTAGGTAACAAGAACGTATTCAGTTTTAAGCTTTCCCTTAGACAAGGCTGAGTTAACCGTGTGTGTCACTAACACTCCATGTGGGACCCCAGCAGCAGTAGCCAATGCCGTGCTGGGCCGCGCGCAGCCAGGGGCGTACCCTCCTCAGGCTGCGAATCAGTCACAACTGAAAACCCCATCCCCAGAGGCCTCCTGCCAGTACAGCCATGGTGACAGAGCCTCTTGTTACCCAGCTCCCTGTGGGTAGGGATGCTAGACTACTTATTCCACACGAAAACAAGAGACTTTTACCCTCATGTGCTGAAAGCGTCCATGTGCAGTAAGATTTCGTACCATTACTGTTTGCCTTTTCTCTCTTCGTGGCTGAACCCTTTCAACTAAAAGTTTTAACTAAAAGAATAAAACATCAGATTCCTCAGTTCTTCCTCCCCACCACCCCCCTTGCCTCAGCTGGAAGATCAGGCCACAGCTCTCGGGCATCTAGCACTGACTTCGGGAGCGAGTGCTGAGCCCAGGTGCGCCACCGCCACCGGTGTTCTGAGCGCACCCCTCTCCGGAGCATGTGCGGGCAGCCCAGGAGATCCACGGCAGTCAACCTTTGTCAGCGCTCCCCAGGACGGCTCTAGGGCGCTCTGCCATCACTAACAGCACCAAGCTCCCTCGACAGTTGGCCCCTGAAAGCGAGAATGGTGTGAAGATGCTGTTACTTTTTCAGTGCCCTAGAACCTCCTACAGGGAGGCAACTCTAACAGCCCGAGAAACGTGGCCACTGAACTCTGAAGAAACTCTCTGGGCCTTCAGGGCCTTTCTGCTGCAGCGCCACATAGCAGCTGACATGGACAGCAGGCGTGAGAGACACAAAGGGAGGCGGGCGGATGGAGGGGTT